TACCTCAACAGCAATACCATTCGACAGAGCATGCCTATGACCAGCAAGGATGATGTCTTCGACATTATGGGTACTTCTCGTGCATGAAACTATTGTCGGCGTATTATCAGGTGCGGATGAAAACGGATCACATCAAGTATACAACGTTCCAAGCACCGAGCGGATTATACGAGATATGATGTTACCAATGGGTGTCAGCAACGCGCCAGCAACAATGCACCGGCAGACATCATCACTGTTCAAGGGTCTTCCTCACACGCGATCGTTCTACGATGACATCTACATCTTCACGAAGTCGAAAGTTTTAAACGAACATCTACAAGATCTCCGCAACGTATTGGAAATTCTGAAGAAGAAGAATCTGTACGTGAAACTGGCCAAGTGTGTGTTTTGCGCGGAAGAAATTCCGTGCCTCGGTGACTTCATCGGACAGAACGAGGTTCTCATTGATCCAGACAATTGCAAACGATTCCGGACTGGCCCATCCCGCGGACACAGGAACGGCTCCACAACTTTCTCGGTTTAAACGGGTGTGTCGAACGATTCTGAGAGCAATACGCTGCGCTGACAGCACTATTGTTTACGGTGTTAAAGAAGAAGAACCAGCGCAACTTAAAGATCACGCTGAATGGATTACAACTGAAGAACATCAAAGAGATGAAGCATCGGCTAGCTGATACACCAGTGTTGCGTTTGCCTGATTTCACGCAACAAATGCATTTGAGGACGGACGCAAGTCAATTCACAGCCGGAGGTGTACCCTTTCAAGTCGTCAACGGTATCGAGCGCCCGATTGAATACAAAACTCGGAAGCTGAAGTCGGCAGAGATGAAATACCCCACTCAACAACAGGAGCTACTCGCGATCGTCAAGCCATTGGCTGCGTTCCGGATTTATTGTTTGGATCAACCTGTTATGATCGAGACAGACCACAAGTCTCTTGAAGGTGTCTTCCAACAAAAGATGACGAGTCGACGACTCGCTCGATGGTGCGACATTCTCGCCGAGTATCAACCGGTCTTTGCATATCTACCTGGGGCTCAGATTGGTATCGCCGACGACCTGATCTCAAGTCACAGACAAAGGAATTCCACGACTTGCTTGTGCCCAGTTTCAATGGAATCATGTACCAGTTACGCATTGCAGAGATCAAACTCACCAACGATCTTGTGAAGGTATCATCGCGGGGTACGCAAAGGATAAGTTATCCGAGAAGTACGACGTACAATCAAGAAACGCAACACACTATCGGCCAACCAAGGGGTATCGGAGAAACAATACAAACCGTACTTCGAAGAGAAGAACATGGTCTGGTACCAAGGATCCACAGATGCAAATTCTCGAATCGTCGTGCCCAACATCGTGACCCTCAAGCATCGCATCATCGCAGAAGTTCATTACTCTAACTACGATGGGCATCCGAGTGCGGATCGCAGTATCTGAAGCTTCGCGCTGATTGGTATTGGCCTCGCATGACGCGTACGATCAAGAAGTACATCGCTGATTGTGAGGACTGTCGACGAAATAATCCGCGACATACGAAAACACCTGGACTGATGGAACCGCTAAATATTTCCGACGAACGATGACGATCTATCTCAACGGACTTCATCAAGCACTTACCGGAGACCAAGAGGGGGCGAAACTCAATCTGGGTAGGTGTTGACCGCTTGACAAAGCGCGCCTACCTCATTACCACTACGAAGAAGGTCTCCGCGTCTGAAGGCGCGACGCTGTTCTTCGACAACATTTGGAGATGCTGCAAGCTATTGTGTCTGACCGTGATACCAAGTTTGTTTCCTGGTTTTGGAGTCAAGTCTTCAAGAATGTGGGGACGAAGTTAAAGATGACAGTTGCATATCGAGCTCAAGGTGATGGACAAACTGAGCGCACCAACAGGACACTAGATGAGTATTTGCGCTGTTTTGTATCACCACTTCAAGACGACTGGGACGTCCATCTGGCCAATGCTGAATTTACGATCAACGCTGCTGTCAACTCAAGCACCAACACGACTCCGTTTGAAGCCGACATCGGATACATCCCCCACAATCCGCTCGCAGCAGTTGCTGCATCGAGTCGAAGGGGACCGTGAGCCCGTATGGCCGACGTGTTCGACCGTGGTCG